GTCGGACCTTGTCCCCCCGCTCTGTTCTGTAGCTGGTGCTTCGGTTCCACGCGCGGCACCGCGAGGCAAACGTCCACCCGCACGTAAGCGCGCACCCCCGGCCACGGCCCGGCGCGGCGGCGTGGCACGGGGATCGCTGATCGCACTCTGAAAGGTGGAGTAGCGTCTCGGGCGGCAAAATGGCGGCCGCGGGAAGAAACAAATGATCGAGGTTGGTGAACGGCGGTGATAAGAGATACGCCAAGATCGACCAAGGTAGTTAGTAAGGCACCTCCCGACTATCACACGATAATTCTTCGGTGATTCCTCCCAATCGTGCGGCCGGAGTGTAATATCCGGTGCTGGGTGACGTCGCGAGAGCAAAAGATCGTCGTGAGCGCGACGCGCATTCCACCCCCGAGGGACGCGAAACTCTCGGAAGAGGAGAGTTGCCCTGATTTTCAAGTCACGAGGGTGGTCACATGAGGGTTCGTCGCGGAACGCTGGTCGCGTGCGGACTCGTTGACGTGTGAGCGTGATTCGATTATCGATCACGGATCCGTCGGCGAAACGAAGAAGCGTGCACGGCGCGAGAATGCTCGCGGAGGAAGCGACGTGGAATCCGAGTGCGAGGCACGGAGTCGGGACTGCGGGAAAAGGTGCCGGGGTTCGATAGATTGATGGACCTGCCGACGGGAATCCGATCGCGTCGCAACCATGCATCTGCATTTCGAGAAGAACAACAACGCCAAGTGCGACTGCAATATCTTGTCGCTCAGCTGGATGGGAAAAGTGCCGGACGAGTCGCCGGAGGTAAAAATTATTGAATAATCCAGAGTGTACAACGTTATACAATTATATTAATAATGTAACTATCGATGATAGAACATATTATATAATTAACAAATAGGAAATAAAGGCCCTAAACAGTCAAGCTGGATCTTTAGCTGCATAAATAATTGGATACGAATTTGGTGGATATTCACATTATTGTATATTCACAGTTTTAAAAGAGAGAGAGACACTTTGCTTAATTAAACAGTTTAAAACACATCAACACATCTATTATTTTCTTACTCTTTATGGTTATAAATTATTTACTACTTCCTTTTCTTCTTTCATCACGCATCCATT